AAAAAAAAACAGCAACTTTTGAAACGTAGTCTAACATGGTTTCTACAAAAATATTAAGCAGCAAAAACTGCTTTCAACATTAATAATAATAAGAAATGTTTATTGAGCAGCAAATCAGCATATTAGAATGATTTCTGAATGAAGAAAAAAAAACACAACCCTAAAGACTAAAGTCTCTTTGTCTCTTTTGCTCATCAAGGCTTATTTTTTTTAATTAAAAGTACAAAAAAAAAAAACAGCAACATTGTGATATAATTAAAAATAAATCTATTAAAATACATTTTAAAATGTAATTTATTCCTGTAATGGCAGAGCGGATTTTTTTAGTAGATATTACTACTTTCTTCAGTGTCATAGGATCCTTCAGAAATCATTCTAACATTCTAATATGATGATGTGGTACTTAATTATTATTAGTGCTCAATTATAAAAAATGGTTTTTATTATTATCAATGTTGAAACCAATTGTTGCTGTTTAATATGCTAAATTATATTTTTTTCAGGATCCTATGATGAATAGACAGTTCAAAAGAACAGCATTTATTTAAAATATAAATATTTTGTAACATAACATTAATAATAATAAGAAATGTTTATTGAGCAGCAAATCAGCATATTAGAATGATTTCTGAATGATCATGTGACACTGAAGACTGGAATAATGGTTGCTAGGAATAAATTACATTTTGTAAAAATTGTAATAATTTTTCACAGTATTTTTTTTTATTATCAAGTATGCAGCCTTGGATATGCAGAAGACTTTGTATTGCAAACAAGTTTGAAAGTGACCTCTGAATAAAAAGGGATTCATGAATCACCAACTATTGATAATGAACAATGGACCTGCTTTGCCTACGAACTTTTGCCGAAGTTTTGCTAATGTGACTGCACCTTTAGTAATGGTCTCACCTTTAGAGTTGGACCAGTAAGCAATCACCTAGGAATGTGAAAAAAGAACATCTTAGCAAACACATAGTGATATGTTGAAAACTGCAAAACATATTAACAACCTCATAACATTGCACTAAAAATCAAGCAATCCAAAACGAATCCAAACACCTTATCAACAGCATAGCCATATACAAAAATTCACTTAAACCACATACAGTTAGGTCCATATGTTTGGACACTGACACAATTTTCCTAATTTTGGCTCTGTATGCCACTAGAACAGAATTAAAAATGAAACAATCAAGATGAAATTGAAGTGCAGACTTCAAGCTTTAATTCAAGGGGTTGAACAAAAATATAACATAAAATGCTTAGGAATTACAACCATTTTTATACACAGTCCCCCCATTTTCAGGGGCTCAAATGTAATTGGACAAATAAATATAATCATAAATAAAAATGTTCATTTTTTATATTTTATTGAGAATACTTTGCAGGCAATGACTTTCCATGACCTTATGTCTGGAACTCATGGACATCACCAGAGACTGGTTTCCTCCTTTGTGATGCTTTGCCAGGCCTTTACTGCAGCTGACGTCAGTTGTTGTTTGTTTGTGGGTCTTTCTGCCTTTAGTTTTGTCTTCAGCAAGTGAAATGCATGCTCAATCGGGTTGAAATCAGGAGATTGACTTGGCCATTGCAGAATATTCCACTTTTTTACCTTCAAAAACTCCTGGGTTGCTGTATGTTTTGGGTCATTGTCCATCTGTACTATGAAGCGCTGTCCAACCAACTTTGCTCCATTTGACTGAATCTGGACAGACAGTATATTCTTCCGGCTGCTTCTGTCTTCTGTCACATCATCACTAAACACCAGTAACCCAGTGCCACTGGACACCATGCATGCTCGTGCCATCACACTGCTCCACCATGTTTCACAGGCTGATCTTAATTTCAGCCGTCCAAAGAATGCTTTTCCAGAAGTGGTCTGGCTTTTTTAGATGTTTTTTGGCAAAGTCTAATCTGGCCTTGTTTGCACCTTGTGGTGAACCCTCTG